GAAAAGCAGCACGCCAATAGGCTCACCTCTCTGTAACTCTGCTCTCTCCTCCTATCAGCATGTTCATATTTAGCATATGAGCACTGCACCACAGCTGATTGGCCCCTTGTTCTATGTCTCCCCCTGCCAGTCTTAGTTCTGCTGTACAGGAGATAACAAGAAGCTGATACCAAGTCAATTTTAGGTACTAACACTTCTGCATTAATCTGTGTCTTTCATATCTGTCTGCAGTTCAGCATTAAATTACCTGAAACTACTAATCGGGTTTCAGTTTCCTGAAATTAGATCAGTGAAAGAACTCATTTGGGGACTCTGATCTGTCATTACAGCTGGCCGGAGCGAGCCGTGACATCAAGACTGACTCCGTCCAGCTGTCTTTTGCGGGGCGAACGGCCGGAAGTCCGTTCTCCCCGCTTCGGCTGTCGCTTCGACTCAGTCGAGCCAAAGCATATGCCATATGCAAACTGAGGTTTCTTCCTCCGAACTTCACTCACTACAGGTGACTGTATTGATACAGGGCCCTAAGGAAGGAAAAACAAAGCTCAGCAGGGGACCAGACTTCTGACACACCAGGAAGTGTATTGGATGCTGGAAATGTTTGAGCCAGCAGCAGAGATAAGCGGAGCAGGCAGCTGGATGTTGAAGTATTAACCCCTTTCTTTGCAGGGAGGATGCGTCAAAGATAGGCATTCATAAGAATCAGAATCTCTATTGTTCTTATAACAGTGCAGCCTTACCCATTAGGGATAGGTATGTGTACTGTTATTTACTTGTATTCCCTGCATCAGAGCAGGAGTGTCAGTGCTTTGTCAGGCTGTGGGGCCTATGTGGAAGCTGACCCATCTTCTGCCTGAGCTGAAGGCAGATAACTGACCGTATCAATATTGCTGAATGAGAATAAAACTTTTAGCCAATAAAGCATTTCGTTTTTGCGCACGTAGATCCCACAGTATCTATGAGACAATGATTTGAGTGTCTGTTATCTGCTCTAGGCTTAGACAGGTGATAAAACAGCCTTACATACTGAAATTTTGGTTGACAATTCTGCTCTGACAGGGAAGGAATACAAGTAAATATTCAAGAATACAGTATTATAACAAATGGAGAGTCAGGTTATTACAGACGTCCATTGGTGACTGTTTTTCTTTAAGGAAAGCAGTCTTGGAGCATACGTATTGGTCCCTTATGTGAACTCAATGGCCAATATGGAGAGTCAGACGGGGTTTACCTTAATTTTTTATTTTGACTCTGTTGTACTTATGGGAAACTTAGCTGGCTTCTATCTATCTATCTTTCAAATGGTGTTAATGAGAACATATGCATTTTTTTTCTTATATTATATTAGTCCTTGAATTTCACTGCACAACTGTAAGGTGAAACGTAGAAACGTGCATTAGCTCAGGGCTGGACGAATCCCGGGAGCCAGGTAGGTTTTCTCTAGTTGCGGTCAATGGAGCTGACTCCTAAAACACATCCTGCTGCCTTTTAGATTGGACAGTCTGGCTCCCGAATGCCGTATGAATGTGTCCGCCCCTGCATTAGCTTGATTCTTGGCTATCTGTTACACTCAAAGATTGAGAACAATATGCATGCCAGTGGAATACAAATATTTGTTAGGAAAGGATGTTCTGTTTTGCAGTCTATCCCTTGTTATCCTGCGCCCTGGTTTAGTGTAATAACACAATTCTAGTATATGCAAATGGACTGCAGTGATTCTGTTCACAATAATGCAGCATTCAGTGCAATCGTTCCTATGAGGAGTTATTTGAAACATCTAAAGTGTCTTCAAATATATGTAACCCAGCCACTAAAATCTGACATCCAAAAGCTTTATGTAAAATCTACACATGTTCATCTAACATGTTATTGTCATTTCAATAGTTGTTTCCAATCATTTTAAATCTGCAGATTTGATCAAAGAAGAACTGCAGGTAAAAATGTTATTAACCTTTGCGGTGAGGCTACCCCCGCACTGCAAGGGTTAAGTGCTCTTTTTGGTCTAGGGTCAAAAATAAAAAATATCTGCTCACCCGATCATTGGAGCCGGCTGGTTGCGACAGTGCTCCCTCCTGCCTGTTTCCTCCTCCACTGCAGCATTAGTATGTCCCTTGGGGTCCTCACGTCCTATACACAGTGTATAGAATGTGATGACTCAGGGACCTTAGACAGCTGCAGTGGAGGAGGGGGGATGCTCCAGGGACTGGTCTAAGAGCAAGCAGGCTCTGATGATAACTTTATTTTTGACCCTAGGCAAAAATGAGGGGTTTGAAAGGGTTAATAAAAATTTTACCCAGAGTTCTTCTTTAAAATAATGGCTGGCGATACTGCCCTGAGGGCTTGTTCACACCATATCCAGAAAAGATCTGCATGAGTTTCTGCATATGCAGTGCGTTTTGCTGCGTTCTGGTCTTTTTTTTATTGTTTTTTTAGCCTAAAATTGGCTTTCAGGGTGTTTGCATGCATTTTTGATGTGTTTGCATGCGTTTTAGTGTGTTCCGGCACAAAAGAAATAGGGCCTGCTGCAGTTTTTTCACATGCTCTGGAACTGAACACTCTAGTGTGAACTAGAGCCCAAAATACCATTGGACTACATTGGATGAATTTTTGATGCGTTCTGTAACGGCTGTGCACCTGCTCTGCGCTTGGTGTGAACTAGCCCTAAAGGTCCTGTTATATGGTGACAACACACTGTCCCTTGTAAAGTAGCCACTACTCCAAGCTCACTCCCGTGATGGACTACAATTTCAATACAAATTAGTAAACTAAACGTGAGATTGTAGTCCATCACGGGAGCGAGCTTGGAGCGGTGGTCACTTTACATCACACACCGGGACCATGGGGAACAAAAGTAACCACCCTCCAGAAGGAAGGACAGTGTCAGCACCAATTCAGAGATGACTTGAGGATCTACAGCTGAGTGATACACAAATCAGATACATTATTGTTAATAGTTAAGGCACGTGAATGCACTTTTAAGATATAACTCCTGAGTTTAGGGTCACTTTAATGATATACGGTGCATAAGCAAACTCATTGTCATTCATGACATCTACTGTAACCATGATATTGATTACACCAGCAATCTGTGCAAATTGTAGCACTGCAACACAGAAAACCAGACAGCCTAAATACGAGCAGATGCAGCAGAAAGCACTCTACCAGAGGAAAGTTTTCTGGGCTCCTGTTTCCCACTTTTGCTGGAATCATCATAATATATGACGGAGGTTAGTAGGACAGATGACTGAGCAGTAAACTCCGAGCGGGGTATCTGCATCAGACGCGGTGGAAGCCTTGTCGTAACGTGTAACCTCTCTAGCGCAGGCCCGTGACTCAGTGATCTGAGTAGCACAACAGCAATGCGTCACACCTCTGTGCGAATCTAACGAGCTCCCAATACTCCATCACACATTCCCTGCAGCCTCACATCTCTAAGGTGGGGCGCCAGCGAGGTCACCTAGCCAAAGCAGAGACCTATGAAAGAAGGCTTACAGACATGAAAAGGTTAAACGCGAGCTGCACAATGAACGTTTCATTCCGTTCTGAATTTTTGACTTGAGAACTGCAATGCAGGAAAACTTAACGAGCCCCCCCCCCCCCCCCCCCCCGCCCCCCC